AATGGGGACTGGTCTCCACCGGTACAGAGTGGTACCGCTGCAAACCGCAATCATTCCTGTCTGCCTGCCTTCCCCACAGCATGTGTGCACCAGGCACCAACCTCGCAATGTAACGCCGACGATTTGATACTGGAACTAAAGACCTGTGAATTGAACCTGTACTTGCTCACCCCTGCAACACTCTAAACTAAAACAGCAATATCTACCCGGTGTAAAAACAGTAAAGTGTCACTATTCTAATAGCATACACATCATACCCTCAACAAGTGCTTCAGTTGTTCTCACACATGATGTTTGTGTCAGGGAAAAGTGAAGTCTCACTTTTGAATGTCTAGTGCTAGGGTACACATAAGGCTTTAAATGAAAATCCCATCTCGGTTACACTTCACACTGTAACGGTCCGATGGTGTCCGATGGGATGTGCTACAGTACTGTAATTTACTATTTTTGTATACAGCCACTTTCCCCAAATGTGCATGTTGAGTTGTTGATTTTCCACAATTCCCCAATTGCCTCAGAGGTGTGTGTTTTGTGCTGTAGGGATTGTGCGATTTCCACTCAAGAAAAGTATGAGTGGGAAGATTACAATGCCCCAGAGCAACATGTATGGTTGTTCAAATTACATGAAATTATACCGCAACAGTGTAATATTTCAGAGGCTACTGGCAACAGTTCCACACAAATGCAAGTTGTGTCTACATTCTCTGTTGTGCCTCTGTATCTCTGACAGCTCAATGACGGATGGCCCTCTGAATGGAAGTCAATGAAAAATGACACGTCTAAATAAAAACACATGTCTTATAACAATATGTTAATATAAGGAACAAGTGCAAGCATTTTGACAAAAAATATCGCATTCATTCTTTGCACAATATCAATTATAGGTTTTTTAATATAATTTGTATCCAGTGAAACTGAAATTAAAGTTTAATTAGATAAACATTAATTATTTTGTATTTATTAAGAATCAAGTTGTTTATGTATTTACAATGAGACTGAACCAAACCAGTAAAGTCTTGGGGAAGTAAAACACAAACAAGGAGCTAAAAAGCTAAATGCTTCACTACCAAAGAAGCTACTGTAGTTGCTAATTCTGTGTCTGCCTAATATTTGGTGGGAATGATGCATACAGTGGGTTTATCATGCAGTGCTGTATTTAAAAAAAAGCTGCCTTCTGCAGTTGGAAGTGATGCTGATGAGAACCATGACTGCCAACCAAAACAGTCTATTTGTGGACTAGAACAAAAAAACAATGAGCTAAAACGTGCTCCACAGAACTGAGGGGAACTGCAAACTGGTGATAACTCAATGTGGGTTACCTCTTTCATATTAAACATCAATAAATCAATATAAAATGATTGATTAAAGCAGGTTAATTCTTCTATGTTCACCTGCCACTTTAAGGCTACCTGGCATGAGTTCCAGAAACAATGCAATGGTTTTAACGATGAGTTTGTTGAGAAATTTGGTTTTAACGAAGTCAACTATAGCTGCACTGGAAATATTTCAACACAAAGTCATGCATGTTTGGCCACCTGTACATGTGAGTTATAAAAAAACACATGAAAAAAAAAACATTAAACAAAATGCGCTCACAGTTGCCAGGTTCCTTGCCTATATCAGTTTTATATGACATTAGGGTGAAAGGGTCCTTTAAATCTTTCAACCAAATCAGCTTTGCCCAAACTTGAAAGTCATCTCACACCTAAAGCGTGATTATGTGTCCTCAGGGTTCTGAGCAGTGGATATCATGTTGCTGTAGACTTTTGTGACATACACACATCGTTAGGTAAATCAAAGAATCACTGTGTTCCTCGGTCTAGGGGGAGCCATAAGAAATATCCTACCATACTGAGCATTTTCCTGTTCTGACAGGATACCATTGCTGAAGAAGGGAAACCCAACACCCACCTGCAAATAACACTGACTCAGACATGGTGAGAGGAGCCCCCCCTTGACATCTTGCTGCATGTGTGCGAGTGAGTATGTGTGTGGGAGGCCTGCCATATGCTAAAGTGCCAATGCAGAGCTGTGAGGGGCAGTCGGTGTATAACAGACATTATAGCATGCGGTAATTATGGATGCTGTTTAGTGTTAGTAGGCATAAAAATACATACAAAAATAATAAAACGATATCCCCTTATTTTTATAAATTGATGAATTCTGAAGAAATAGATCCTTGCCTATACAACATATCTTGTAGACAGTAATTGTACCAAAGTTCACCGAGCCCAATGAACAGATTCTCTATTGTTGATCACCTATGAGAGTTCACATTTGGCATTTTGGGAAATTAAATAAGAAGATTGATACCATGTGGTTACTCTAATTGGCTACTGCGAGCAGCCCTTTAGTTTAGCATAGCATTAGCGGGCTGTGTCTTCGCTTGATGCTTGCTTGAAGTCACTATGCTGTTGCCTGGCTGCAGGTGCGGAGGGAAGATAAAAAAACTAAAAGGTGAAAACATTGGGCTGGAATTTCAGTTTAAAACGTTATGCTGGAGAGTGGGGGATTAGCATGGGAAAGACAACATTGTCTATTATGTTCCTGAACAGGACTCTATTACAGCCCTGCATCCAACAAGGTTAGTAACTTATTGACAAAAATGCCTCCTGACAAAGCTGGGTCACCAGCATTAGCATAATATGGAAAAATCATCTCAATTGCTCCTTCTTGGCAGAGAGGGACTGAGGGAATGGATGAAGCGATATGGAAGTTCAATTTGGCAGGCAGTGGCTCGGTTAAGGTCAACCCACCCTCAGAGTGACTGAATGTTTGGTTTTACTGGGAAGACAAAGAATGATGAGGCTGTGCCTCGGCCTTATCTGTCACTGCAGATAGAGGATATCTTGAATCTTAGAGGTCCTGCAGTGCCATAATAAGAAATGTGATGGAAATCTTCCACTATATGGAACTTCCTATATTAAGTCAACCAGACATTCCTCTGATGCCCCAACAGAGGCACAACTCCACTGGCCTAAATAACTGACTTTCTTGCGGCAGAAACAAGTTCTGAACACAATACTGACAGGTTGTATGATCAACCTTTAACTTTATATGGAAAATGTACAAGGGAGAATGTTGCTGGGGGGAAAATATGGCACTTACCCATGTGTATAAACTAATAATTCGTTTTTAAACTGAGCTTATTTAACAGTGGATTTTTTGCCACTTGTGGACAGCAAAAACAAGCTGTAAACACATCTCTGATAACTCCAGTTGATATGGCTAACCTATTAGCATAACGTTTCTATTTACAAATCCAGGATATCTGGCCAACTATTAATATTAATATTGTCACCCTGCTTTTGTTTCCACCAACTCTTCATAGGAATAACTAGCTGGTAAAATAGCAGGTTGCTAAGGATTTGAAAATTGGCAGTGGTGTAAAGTAAAAAAAACAGAGTTAACCAGAATTGTGTGCCAGAACACCAAGACAATGAGTTAAAGGCTCTATAAAGCTCTCTTTACGTTACACATACACAACACCATAGGTTTAAGGCACTCAAACACTTCCAAGTCTTACGCCTCACATCAATATTCTCACAAGCTCCGGATATTGGTATTGCATCTCATCCTATTCGCCGGTCCAATGCACCACTGAACATGCACCACACTTCTTTCTACAGCTGGAGGCTTGCTGCATGCCAAGTGGAGTGTCCAGACTGGCTGAATATTGACATTCAATAATGTACAGTAAACGTTCATACTGTCAACTCTGACGTTAACTGCAGTCTGAACTGCATGCGATGACTGGTCTTTGGATGTATGCACTGTTTAGTAGATATACATAATCATACTATATGCCAGAATGAACAACATGATTCGAACTGTGCAGCTAAAGCCTTCAAATCATAGACTGTTGTAAACAGATATATAAAGGGTAAATATATGTTAAGATGTGTTTTCCTCAAAAACAAATGACTGTACCTTTAAAACAGCGAAGTACAGTGAAATTAAAGTGCTCCTCTCATAATGCCAGGCTGGTGTTGGTGATTCATCAATACAGTCACAGAGTCTCTCTAAGTTTCTCTCTGTGTGCCTGTCTGTCTCTCTTTCTCCCCCCCACTCTATAACTCAGTTGAATTCACATCAGTCTGCATAATGCATGACAGCACATAGGTCCCCCCAAGGCCTTTCATTACGTAAACCTGTTGCAAGAGGAGCCACTGCAGCACTTTTACAACGTCCATCAAAACAGGGGCCAGCATGTGTTTGAGTGGTTCGTGATGTATTGCTGTTTAAGCAGCATTGAAGTCTGAATAGAATTGCAGTTGCTTTGACCACACCAGTGAGTATTTCCAAACACTTGGAGAGTAAATGCGAAAAATTGGAGGCAAGGTTTTGTTTGTGTACCAGAATTAGCAAGTGCAAACAGGGATGAAGTGCTCCCTCCTCTGTGAAAATAATAAAACACACCTCTGCAGGGCATTATTGTAGGAAAACCAGTGGGGAGAGCCCTTGAAAGCTCTGAAAGTGAGGCACTAAGCTTGGGGAAATCAGACCCTGCTTTTGTGCATTATCAAAACAGTCTCATACAGTATAAGGAGAATATCCGAGAATAACGTCTGCAATGTAACACTGCATAGAAGACGGAGGAGGCAATCTGGCCTTAAGAGGAAAACTCTCTCCCATCCAGCCAGTCATCACCTGCCTGCAGCCTCTGCAGAAATGCTCTTTCACTGATGTCTTTGAGGTAAAGTTCACAGTTCCACAGCAAACGAGAGAGACTGACTGATGGTGGCATATAACCTTTTCTTATGAGAGATCTGACACCAAGAATCTGAGGGATGTATTTATATAAATCCTGGCTCAGAGTTTCCTATTTTAATATGTTTGGAGTAAATCCAGTAAAGAACCTTTACCTTAGTATACTGGTGTAAATATCTACTGTAAGATGGGGGAAGTCTACAGGTGGCAAATTACGCATAGGAATGTACCTCTTTGTGTGGTATGAATTTGAAGTGGACCAGGACCCTGTTGCATGTACCTGACAGTGTTTACAACTCACCACTTGCATTCTTCCCACATATCAGGTGTTGCCAGGGCTGCAGAGACCCCCATATCTCTGCGTCAGTGTTGACGGCCTGGTCCAGGGTTTCCACAGTAAACTTGGGGATCCCGTTATCCCGCTCCAGCAGCGCGCTGCGCAGCACCCGCGCGTACACCTCGCGAAAGAGGCTCTCCATGCACGCAGCCAGGTAGATTGCCGCGTGCTCGTGGATCCTGACCGCGATCCTGCCGTCCACCATCCACCTGAAGAACTTTCCCACGTTGAAGATGAGTCCACAGCGCACCGACTTACCGCGGCTAAACTTGTCATCCTCCGTGCTCATGTTGTACAGGGACAAGGCACTGAGGGCCGCGCTGATGCAGCTCATCGACACACTCCACGACAGGACGATCTTTATGGCACTTTGGATCTCGTATTTGGTGCATTTGGCGTAGCGCAAACTCAGGCGCTGCGACTCCTTTGCGACCCTGACCAGGGCCCGGCTGACCAGCTCCGACAGCCTGAGCAGGACGTCCTGCGGGGGGGGCGGCAGGGTCATCTCCTTGTCCCTGCACAGTGCGCTCGCAAGTTCCCCGAGGCTCCACGGCACATCCTCAAGCTCGGGTAGTTTAGCGCACTGCTCGGTGCTCTCCAGGATCTCGGCGTCTTCGACCAAGACCGTGTTAACAGTGTCCAGACTGTTGTGTCGACTGTGCATCGAGTCGGTTAAATGCCAGTGATTCCCCCCATGTGCCTCTGATAAGCACAGCGACGCACTGGAAGACCTGAAGGAGTCGGCGGCTCCACCATAACCCGAGTCAAGCGTCAAATCCTCCAGGGTCCTCGCTACTGACTTGCTACTCCTTGCCATAACTGCACTTCATACTGCAAAAGAAGGCTTGGGAAAGTGGAGGGAAATATCCAGAACGCTGGAGTTTGGATACGCACGCGTCTTGAACGAGTCCTGCTGTTAAATAATGTTCTGTTTTTAGTAAAAGTCCATCCAAGTTGTCGGTATAAAGTTAGAGTAGTATCTCACGCCAGTGCATCAACAGTCACAGTGCTGTTGCAGCGCAGTGCCTGACAGATGGGGGCGGGGCCGTGGAGACCCGAGAACAGTTGTCAGCCAATGGACTCTCGGGATGAAGCAGCTAAGAGTTTTAATTGGATCGCTTTAGAGGATCAATAAAAAGTCACTGATGTGGTCCATGATGAGGCTTCTTGGTCTAAAAAGTAATTAACAAAATGTAATGTAAACAGTGAGCACATCTGTTCTGTACGCATACTTTTGTGAAGTTCCTCAAAACTTTAGAATATAATACATGCAGAAATCCTGCCATGTAAAAGTACAATGAAGGAAATTGCTGTAAATAATAAATCACATAATGTACAGTGTAAGTATAAGTATAGCTGCTTTTATATAATCATGTTTAGGGGACATGTCCTCTAGGGGATCAGGCTTTTCATATATTTTCTCAGGGCCCACGTCTGATCGTAACATGACTCAAGACCATTAATAATAGATTGCATGCATAATGTATCCTTCTCTGTTCCTCAGGAGGAGAACTCATTGAAAAATATCTGAATTACTTTCAAGGGCATTCGCTGGGATCACTCACAGGCTTTAACCAAGCCGTTTTGTTTCCCCCCCCTAAAACCATGTAAGCTCTGGCTTCCCCCCTCAGTACTCTTTAAACAAAAGTCATCATGGATGCATGAGCGAATTTAAAATATCAAAACAATATTGCTTATTCCTCAACAACAACAACAACAACAACAGTGAGGTATTTCGTTAAGGTTCCATTTTCTGAAAATAACTGCAGTCATACTGTAATACTTACACAACCTGTTCAGTGCAAATAGCTGTACAATGTCTATGGGCTGGAAGTAATTTAACAAGCACCATGAACTGGAGATTGCCCACTGATCTGAGGGACTGTGGCTGTTTTTCATCTGAGATGCTGTGAGACTGTTGCTCCTGCAATTGACATCAGGTTGGATATCTCTCTGGCGCAACAGTGAACCCTGGTGTTGAGCAGTCAAACTTCAGTTTATTTGTCAGCGAAAAGGGCTCAAATGAAAGTTAAATAGAAAACTGAAATAGTTTATTCTTCAATGGGGATTGACATATATGCCACAGAATAGTATTTAACTAATTGATTCAGCTGTGGTCCATGGTTCTGGTGTTGTTTCAGTCAGAAATAAATCAATATTATTTCAATGAAAAGACTCTAGGAAAAAAAAACAAAAAGGAAAATGGTAGAGACTGAGCTTTATAACAGTTAAGGTAATGCTGCTCTATTTCTAAGGTTCAGATTAATGAGATGCTGTATGAGAAACCAATGTGATTTTGGAAAATTGCACAATTTAAATATATAGTATACCTCAACAATGGAAATATGATCAGTAGAAATGGCCATGACATGGGACCTTTAAATAATGTGATTTATCTCTGTAACCTCAACTGCTCTATACTCTGATGGGGAAAAAATGATATGATGTTAGGCAACAAAAAAGCGGGAAAATCTATTTCCATTGTAAATTGAAAAAAGCTTGATTAGGTTATAAAGCGGATGTTGAAGGTTAATAATAAGCCTATAATTTAATACAACAGTTACATGTGTGGGTTGGGTGCAAATTAGCCTTTTCACTGAGAAACGGTTTTAATTTGGAAGGTGAAGCATGTCAGAAGGGTTTCATTTGTTGGAAAATTAAGAAAGGGTGATTTTGAGCCAAAATCCTTTTTTTTGCCACCAGCCGAAGACACATCACCATGTCCTGTTTTTGAGCACTATCAGCAGGGCATTCGGGATGATATTGGCTTAATGTGGTCTTTTGGTCGACTTGTTAGCCCACAAATCTCGTCCAGACTGAAATAGCTCAGCAGATGTTAGATGGATTGCCCAAAAATGGTACAGAACTAGACGAATATGTGTAATATTTTGGTATATGAGTAAATAACAGTAAAACGAATTAAAATGAGTGTAAGCAGATTTGGGTTATTAATGTGTATTATGTCAGCATGCTACCATCCCACACATAGATGGTACACATGGCAGACATTACGGGCTACCTGCTTAATTTGACAGAGCATGTAATTATTAGCATTTTAGCAATTATATTTATCTCAAAAGGCCCCGAATTCGCACCAAGTGGATAACATGGCTCTAGAATTAGTTTTTTTCATATTACATCGTATTCTGCTCAATTATAATTATTTTCATACTTAAGTATACACAATCATACAGTGTAGTGCTTATTATCATTTAAGAGGCAATGAGTAAACACATTCTCGACAGTAAAGCCTAAACCTTCTGCTTATGGAGTCAACGCTGTGACTGCTCTATCTGGAGAAAATATAGAATCTAACTACTATATTTAAAAATCCAAATCTAAAAGTAGGGATAAATAAACCCTATTGCTTTTGAACGTAAGAGGAGCTCAAATCAATAAAGATAGGGTACCTGTTTTAAAACGTGATGAATGGGATTACTGGCATTTCAAGACAATCCTGGTTAAGACTGCCATCAAGTGTCCACTTTCAAAACTACATGCAATTGCATAAGTAACCCAGCACAGCATACTTTAATAACCTGTTCATAGTGAAACTTGTTGTGACCAAGTCCTTGGCATAAGCAATACAAATACAAATGTATTCAGCAATGAGGAGGGTAAAACTATGGCACTGTCAGCACAAACCCAGAGGCTGATCCACTGCAGTGGTGTGCTCCGTCACCCCTCGATCCTTCCTCAATAAGAAGATGGCCTGAGCTAACCTTTTTGACTATGTGATATTAAGAAAAAAGCGTGTTGTTGGTTACAAGCACATCTAGTTCAAATCACCCTAAAAGTGTCTGGGAATACGAGTCCACTATAAGGCCGTTTCTGGTGTATCTGAAAACTACATTGTGTTTGAGTTTGAAAGTTGCAGTAGAGATTTTACTGACCTTTTTGGTTCCTGAGTCACAGCTGTTTCAAGCAAAGCTGATCTGTTTCTCCATTGGGCTTTTCTTTATGACTACAACAGCAATGCTTAGAGCAAGTTAATAAGCCTGTAAAGGTAGAAACTTACTTTAAATGTAGATACAGCTCAACAGGCCTGGATCATATACGCTTCAGCAGGCAGAGTGATGTTCCTCTCAATTCATTACAGCACGTTCCTCTTTCCTCTTACGGCATTTCTGTGTAATAAAGAAAAAGAAGGAATAGATTAAACAATTTTTAAATAATATATTGATAATTACAGCATCTATCTCTTTTACACTTACTGGTCCTTACACGGTAACGTTGTTTATTTCAGGACTGTAAGCAAAATATACAAAAAAAACTCCTTTTAGGGTTATGTCTAAGAATAACAGACTACATGATGTCAGACACTCATTCCCATAAAAATAAACTAATTCAATAAATATAACACAATGTAACATAATCAATATAAAGTGTTGGTATGTATCTGTTATTCTGTTTTATGTATGATTTCAGGTGACCGAAATTCCTGATTTAGAAAAACATAATTTTAGGTTAGATTTAATCTTTGACTGTAATTTTCACCCCTTGTTATCAGGCGATTACATGTTTTATGTAGGCTAATTGAACATGGCATTGATTTCAGATTAAAAGTGCTGATAGTAGGTGGGGTTGGCTTTGCTCGACCAAACGCTCAGTGGCAGTTTTAGCGGTGCAGTCCCTGTGATAAATCGAGCACACCTAATTCGAGCCGACTCCGAGCCTCCCCGAGCTGCATGTGCTCATCCGGGTACTCAGTTCTAGGTCAATCATCCAAAACCTCCAATTAGATGATTTTATCAGATACTTTAAGTGGTTATTTTGTATGCTCTTCAGAAGTGAACCCTTTCCCAATAATTGAGGTAATACGACTGAATACTGACATTTACACCAGGCAAACAGCCGCAGATGACGGGATAAGAAAGCACATTATGTAAACGTGACAGAGAGACCCAGAAAGAAAAAGGTTTCAAATTTCCTTTTTTTTTAGATCACACAATTCTTTAGGGTGTTATTAACATAATGAGTAACAAAAACTAAAAATATATATTTTTATTTTTGTTTTATTGTGTGTCCTCTGTAGAGGACATCAGGTGTTATGCAAACAGTATACAAACAACATTAACATACAAGTACATTTAGAGAATATTAGAGCACAACAACTCAATGCAACAAATATTGAGCCCTCATTTGTAGTACTCCATCCATTTTTTAAATGCAGAGATACATCTGACACTTGATGTATGTTTTCCCACTGCATCCGTCTGCCATGAACCCTACAGNCAGGATCATTTTTACTACTCACAACTGTACACAGATTTTTTTTCTTTATGGATATTTTCCAAATCACTCCCCTTTTAAACTGTATTCTTGTTTTACTGTCATATAGTATTTCATAACTGTTTTTCATTTATTCTCATAAATGGTGACCAAAACTGAGCTGTAGTTATCTCTCAGTCTGACAGGACAGAGCTCTAAAACCTTGTTTTAGAAACAGCTTCTAATATCCGTTAGCACAGCTAGCTACCCAGATGCTAACAACAACAATGCAAATAGTGAGTTTGGTAGAAATATACTGTATAATAGTAAAGTTATTTAAGATGATGCCCATATTTATTGAAGATTTTACATTATAAATATTCCCCCAAAATTATTTAAAAGCCATATTCTTCAAAACTTTCTGCTGTAGTATTGACCACCAGGAGACTATTGATGTATGTAGTGAGTTTAGTAGTAATAAGCTG